TTTGGTACCTGTATTCTCTGGATTTAACAAGTTTGAAACTGATTCATTGTGTTCCATTGATTGAGGAGTTCAGTCACTTGGTTCTCCTTTAAATTATTTGTGGGGCAAAAGCTGTTAACGTATTCTAAATCAAAATGCATTAAACCGTGAGATTTAATCAAAAAGGTTAATTTCACTGATACCCCTTCAGATTTGACCAAATATCACTTTAAAACTAATTCATTGTGTTCCATTGATTAAAGAGTTCAGTCACTTGGTTCTCCTTGAAATTATTTGTGTGGCAAAAGCTGTTAACGTATTCTAAATCAAAATGCATTAAACCATGAGATTTAATAAAAATGTATTTGTGTCGTATTCTTTGTACATTGGAAAATCATTAGACAACCTACTCAAATACCAATTCGGACTTATCCGACTTGACTTTCGTAGTAGGCCCTATGTCCCCACTCATTTTGAGTTATCCAACTTGAAACTTGTAGTAGGCCTCACACCCCTACTTGCATCACTGGATTCGAGAATGGACAATACTTACCTACTCACCGATGAGTAGGAAGCTTATACTCACCACGTATGTCCTTACATTTAAAATTGTTGATGGTGGATTCTGCGCAACCTGGATCTGATCTGACTTCCGAATAAAGAGAAGAAAAAGTAATCCTACGAACACCGGTGTGTTACCGGTGGAGTAGGCTCCGACGAACAAGTCAGTGTGAATGATAATCTCCCTGGAGAAATCGAGAAATTGAGTTAGGGTTTATTGCGTACCTCAAAATGTTGATTCACCCGTCTTTTTTATAGGGCTTAGGTTAAGATGTCACATAGAATTACCTTATTGTAATCTGTAGACTTAATCCTCATCGTAATCTTTAATCCTTATCACAATCTTTAATCCTTATCGTAATCTGTAAAACCTATCTCAATCTGTAATCCTTATCGTAATCTGCAGAGCCTATCTCAATAGTGCGTTAATTTAGTAATCTTCCCTTAATTATGGATATTTAAATTATACATCCATCAGTTGCCCACCGTTTCGGAGGATTGCTTGTTAAACCACCGGAACGTTAATTCCGAAATATCACACAATAATATATAGTTAGAATTGCAGAACCTTGTCCATTAGCCTGACTTATATTGTCATTTCGTGAATACAGTTGGGGGTCATAGTATCACATTGGGAACTCATATATGTGGCAAGCTCATATATTTGTCGTATATTGGCAAGCTTGTATATTTGTCGTAGTGCCACATCGGCAACTCGTATATGTGGCAAACTGCCATGCTGGTAGTCTACCGTTATGTGGCAAGCTGCCATGCCATGCTGCCGTGGCAAGCTGTCCTGCTGGCATGCTGCCGTTATTTGTCAAGTTGCCCTGGCAGGCATGCTGCTTTTATTTGGCAAGCTGCCCTGCTGGCATGCTGCCTTTATTTGGCAAGCTGTTATGCTAGCATGCTGCCCTGCTGGCATGCTGCCTTTATTTGGCAAGCTGTTATGCTAGCATGCTGCCCTGCTGGCATACTGCTTTTATTTGGTAAGCTGCCCTACTGGCATACTGCTTTTATTTGGTAAGCTGTCCTACTGGCATACTGCCGTTATTTGGCAAGCTGCTCTGCTGGCATGCTGCCTTTATTTGGCAAGCTGCCCTACTGGCATGCTCCCATTATTTGGCAAGCTGCCCTGCTGGCATGCTACCGTTATTTTATACTTGATTTTATTGACATCTTTAGTCGGCTCGTCCCTTTAATAAGGAAAGTAGATTAAGACGAGTTTCACGTAACTCGTAATAAGGTAAGTAGATGAATACGAGCTTCACTCAGCTCACCCTTTAACAGGGGAAGTAGATTACTATGAGCTTCACCCAGCTCACCTTTTAATGAGGGAAGTAGATTACTATGAGCTTCACTCATCTCACCCTTTAACAAGGGAAGTAGATTAATACGAGCTTCACCCAGGTCACCCTTTAACAGGGGAAGTAGATTAATACGAGTTTCACCCAGGTCACCCTTTAACAGGGGAAGTAGATTATTATGAGCTTCACTCAGCTCACCCTTTAACAAGGAAAGTAGTTAACCCCTCATCTTTTTACGAGGGAAGTAGATTACTATGAGCTTCACTCAGCTCACCCTTTAACAAGGGAAGTAGTTAACCCCTCATCTTTTTACGAGGGAAGTAGATTACTATGAGCTTCACTTATCTCACCCTTTAACAAGGGAAGTAGTTAACCCCTCATCTTTTTATCGAGGGAAGAAGATGAAGCTGACCCTTCATTCTTTTAAGGGGGAAAGAGGTATGGTCTTGACATGGGAGTCATCTCCTCTGACGGTTGTCTCGGGATGTTGGCAAATCGTTGACACTTGTCGCACTTTTGAACGAAGTCAAGTGCATCTTTCTGCATGGTGGGCCAATAGTATCCTAGTCGCATGGCCTTGTTAGCAAGTGACCTACCCCCAGCATGGTTTCCACAAACTCCTAAGTGGATCTCCCTTAAAATGTAGTCAGCTTCCTTGCTAGAAACGCATCGTAAATACGGCATAGAGAAGCTTCTCTTGTTGAGCACCCCTTTGATAAGCGTATACCTAGCTGCCCGCATCTTGACCTTTCGAGCTTCTGCTCGGTCTGTTGGTAGCACCCCATCCTTGATATATCTGATGATAGGATCTGCCCATTCCACACTCAATATCGCTTGTTGCACTTAATTTGTCTCTCCTGAGATATAGATGGTTCGTCCAAATATTCCAGTGGTATATTCTTACTGATCTCAGGTTCAATACAGTAGCTAGCCGGGCTAAAGCGTCTGTTTTCCCATTCTCTTCTCATGGTATTTGAAGAATTGAGAATCTTTGGAAGTGATTCTTTAATTCCTTCACCTTTTGTAGGTAACTCTTCATCTTCTCGTCTCGTGCCTCATATTCTGCTTGAAGTTATCCAGCGACCAGCTCGGAGTCGGTGTAATTGCTCAACCCCTAGGGCATAAGCCACTTTTAATCCTGCTATCAAGGCTTCGTACTCTGCTTTGTTGTTGGTTGCGTTGAAACCAAACCGAAGTGCGTACTGTATACTTTCTCCCTCTGGGGAGACAAGAACAAGTCCGGCTCCGCTAACCTGAACATTAGATGACCCATCCACGAACAAGTCCCAGACTACTTCTGGGCCCATCTGCTCACTTAAACCTGGTTCTGTGGAAAATTGGGGTTGTTTCTCCTCTTCTGGAGAAGTAAACTCAGCTAAGAAATCAGCCAACACCTGAGCCTTTACTGCTGTTCTTGGCTTATACTGAATGTCGAACTCTTCTAACTCTACTGACCACTTCATCAGTCGACCAGAGCTTTCTGGCTTGTGTAGGACCTGTCGAAGGGGTTGATCTGTTAGGACCACTATCGTATGCGCTTGAAAGTATGGTTTCAGTTTCCTGGCGAACACAATTAAAGCAAAGGCCAACTGTTCCATCCTTGGATATCTTTCCTCCACACCCCTAAGTGCTCTGCTCACGAAGTATACTGGCCTTTGGACCCCTTCTTCTTCTCGTATCAGAGCTGAACTGACAGCTGTCGTGGAGACTACAAGGTATATGTATAGTTCCTCTCCCGGTATAGTTCGAGACAGTAGTGGGGGAGAACTAAGGTATTGATTTAGTTCTTTAAACGCCTGCTCACACTCTGGGGTCCATTCAAACGCATTCCTTAGCACACGAAAGAAAGGTAGACACCTGTCAGTTGACCGAGAGATTAGCCTACTCAAGGCAGCAATCTTCCCTGTTAGTCATTGTAGATCCTTGGTTGATCTTGTCGATCTCATGTCAATGACTGCTCGGATCTTCTCTGGATTGGCCTCAATTCCTCTTCTGCTTACCATATATCCCAAGAACTTTCCTGAGGAAACCCCAAAGGCATACTTGCTGGGGTTGAGTTTCATCTTATGCCTCCTAAGTACCTCGAAGGTCTCCTGCAGGTCAGTCAAATGGTCTTCAGCTTTTAAGCTTTTCACCAACATGTCATTAACATATACCTCCATGTTTCTACCAATTTGATGCTTAAACATTGCATTCACTAGCCTTTGGTATGTTGCACTAGCGTTCTTGAGCCCAAACGGCATTACTTTGTAACAGTACAAACCTCTATCAGTGATGAAGGCCATTTTTTCTCTATCTGAGGTGTATATAGATATCTGGTTGTATCTAGAATATGCATCCATAAAACTTAATAGTTCGTGTCCAGCCGTTCCTTCAACGAGCATATCGATTCTTGGGAGAGGAAAGCTGTCATTCGGGCAAGCTTTGTTAAGGTCGGTGAAATCCACACATAGCCTCCACTTTCCATTTGCCTTCTTCACTAAGACCACATTTTCCAGCCAGTTGGGGTAATACACCTTTTGAATAAAGTCGACTTTTAAGAGCTTTTCCACCTCTTCTGATATAGCCTGATTCCTTTCTAGAACGAAAGTCCTCCTCTTTTGTCTGGCAGGTTTAAAGTCAGGATTTACATTTAAGCGGTGCTCCATGATAGTGGGGTCTATACCCGGCATGTCTTCATGGACCCATGTAAATATATCTCCATTCTTCCTAAGGAATTGAGTAAGTTTATCTTTGATACCTGGGGGGAGTAAAGACCCTATACTCACTTTTTTCTCGGGCTCACCGTCACCAAGGATGACCTCTTCTAGCTCCTCTGTAGGTTCCGCTCTATGAAAGTCTGGTCTATCTTTCCCTTCCAGCCCTTCAATCGTAAATGCCTCTTACGATTTTGTTTTTCTAAGAGAGACGACATAACATTTGCGAGCCATTGTTTGGTCCCCTCTTAGCTCTCCCATACCATATTCAGTTGGGAAGCGCATCAGGAGATGATAAGTGGACGTGATTGCTTTCATGGCATTCAATGTTGTCCTCCCCAGGATAATATTGTATGATGATGGGCAGTCCACCACTACAAAGTCCACCATTACAGTGGCCTGCTTTGGATTGGCTCCTGCAGTAACTGGAAAGGTAACTGCCCCCAGTGGATGTACTTTATCGCCTGAAAATCCCACCAGTGGTGATTTCATGGGTCGGAGCTTCTCTCGGCCAATTTTCAATTTCTCGTATGCCCAGGGGGTCATCATGGGGCTGGTGAATTCCCTTGTCATCTACTTCAGAAAAGGTTATGACCGGCTCCTCAACTTGAGGTAATTTTGTTAGAGGACTTGTCATTCTAACTTCATTCACCTCTGAAAAACTTCGAATACTCTTAGCATGAGCCCTCCGAGCCGAACTCGTCTCACCACCACCAGCGAAGCCACCCGATATAACTTTGATCTCACCCATTGGTTGGTGTTGAGGAGGGCGATCATCTCGGCCCTCCCGGGCTGGGTTGGAGCCTCCTTTTCCATTTCCAGTTGTGAATTTGCGTAAATGACCTTTACGAGCAAGGTTCTCGATCTGGTTTTTGAGGTCGAAACAATCTTCTGTGTTATGTCCATGGTCCCGGTGAAACCTACAGTATTTACCTAGAGACCTCTTTATTGGATCAGCTTTTAGCTTTGGCGGCCATTTCAATGATGCGTCATCTTGAATCTGCAGAAAGACTTGATCCACAGATGTATTTAGGGGGTATAGTTATTATACATGCCTGGGCTCACTGGGCGGCGAGACGATCTGTCAGCCTGGTTGTTTGAGAATTTCTTGTACTTCGATTCCTTTTCCTCCCTAGTGTTAGGTGCTGGCCTCTTCTTCTCCGACCTCTTATCTTCACCATCTTTGTTTTTTCGTGCATTCATAGCATCCTCAGCGTTCATGTGCTTCCATGCTCTAACCATCAACTCTGTCATGCTTGTAGGGGCTTCTTTTGATAAGGAAAATAGGAACTTAGAAGTCTGTAGTCCTCCCATAAAGGCTGTGAGGGCAACCTTGTCGTCCACCTCTTCTACTTGCAGCATATCAGCGTTAAAACGACTTATGTAACCACGGAGAGGCTTTCCCTTCTGCTATTTCACATTCAATAAGTGTGTTACTGTCTCCTATGCCCTGCCCAGCGATGAAGTGTCCAATGAATTGTTTGCTCAACTCATTAAAGATTTCAATGGAGCCTGGCTTTAATTTATTGAACCAAGGACGAGCCCAAACCTTTAGTGTGGTAGGGAAAGCCTTGCACATAATCTCATCCGGTACGACTTGCAAATACATAAGAGCTTTGTAGGTCTCCAAATGATCGAGAGGGTCCCGCGTCCCATCGAAGCTCTCAAGAGTTGGCATATTAAATTTGCTAGGTAGAGGACAACTCATAACATAACAGCGAGGCTAAATGCTAGGTTGGTCTTCTGTACCAGATCGTTCACTGTGGCCTGGCCCTTCCCTTTCATTGCTTGCATGACGTCTTTGACCCTAGTTCTCAGATCTTGCATCTACAGATTGAAATAAGTGACGTCTTCAGTCTTGTCACCAACACAACCAGAGGTACTGCACGGAGCCTGGTATTATTCCGTTCAAGAGACCGATGGTGATGGCTTCTCTGTTGACCCCCTATTTGACTAAGCTCAGCGTCGTTGTCAATCCTACGGGAGTCATTCTTGGGTACTTCATTATTCTCCACCTCATTAAGGGCGGCTAAGCGTTGTAGAATCATTGAATTTTTTAGGACTAATTGGTTCATTCCCTTATTTAGGGTTTAAACCTGTTGTTCCAACGCTGTGACGCGTTCCTGATCGTTTGGGACAGCGGGGGGTTACCTCGTCGAGTCCCCTTGATCAGAAGTTTGCAACGCTTCGTATTCGCCAGCAACCAGACCAGATCGCAATCGAACCATACTTTATTTAGAGAACTAAAATCGTTCCCACAGACGGCGCCAACTGTTGATGGTGGATTCTGCGCAACCTGGATCTGATCTGACTTCCTGAATAAAGAGAAGAAAAAGTGATCCTATGAACACCGGTGTGTTACCGGTGGAGTAGGCTCCGACGAACAAGTCAGTGTGAATGATAATCTCCCTGGAGAAATCGAGAAATTGAGTTAGGGTTTATTGCGTACCTCAAAACGTTAATTCACCCGTCTTTTTGATAGGGCTTAGGTTAAGATGTCACGTAGAATTACCTTATTGTAATCTGTAGACTTAATCCTCATCGTAATCTTTAATCCTTATCACAATCTTTAATTCTTATCGTACTCTGTAAAGCCTATCTCAATTTGTAATCCTTATCGTAATCTGCAGAGCCTATCTCAATAGTGCGTTAATTTAGTAATCTTCCCTTAATTATGGATATTTAAATTATACATCCATCAAAAATAATAAAAAATAATTAATTTAATAGCTATTCGGGTGGCCACAATGTTAAACTGATAAGTGTCCTTACATTTAAAATAATAAAAAATAAATAATTTAATAGCTATTCGGGTTAAACCCAAATGAATCTAATTCAATTCTTAATTCTCTCTCCTCTTCCTCTTTCTCATGCTTCCCTAATCTCATTCGCCTCCCCCCCCCCCCCCCCCCCCCCCCCCGCGCAGCCGCTCTTTCTCTCTAGCGCTGTGCACACAGCGTTAGAAAATGCTTCTCTCAAAATCCCCCTAGCTACAGGGTGGAATCCACCAAGCAAGCGTAAAAAGAATGAGTTAGCTCTGCCCAGGTACTAGCTCGACACCACATCGCGAGATTTGGTTTGTAAGGTCAGCCTATAAATATGGATTTTAATGCACCTATAGTCCCCCCTTTAGAATGGCTAATCTAGTGTGGTTAAGGGCTTTTCTAAAAGCCTGTACATCTCCATTCCACTAAGCATATTGATTGGTCTTGTCTTGCAAAGTTTTCTTTTTATTGTAAATAAAGATTTGCTTTCAGAAAAGAGTGCATTCTAAAAGTTGTGAAAGGAAAGAAGGAAGGATTGACTTCAGCTTCAGCATAGGCACACAGCTTGAGGAGTTTCGCTCTCTAAAAATATGAGAGCGCTGGAGAGGGAGAGAGAGAGAGAGAGAGAGAGAGGCGGATGAGATTAGGAAGCGTGAGAAAGAGGGAGAGGAGAGAGAATAAAGATTTGATTCGGATTCATTTAGGATTAACCTGAATAGCTATTAAATTATTTATTTTTTATTATTTTAAATACAAAGACACTTGTCAATTTAACATTGCACCACATACATGGTGAGTATAAATTTCTTACTCACTAGGCAAATATTGTCCTTCGAAATTATTCCGCTATGGTCTTGTAAACTTCGGCCTGAACCTTCCTAAATTTTCTGGCTCCGTCCCTCCTTATCCGAAATTTTGAATGTTCCATCCTCGCTCTAGTATACCAGCGATTATTTAGTGGATACATTTCGTTGAAATATGCATGGAAGGAAAGAAATTGCAAGAAAAGGTGTCACGCAGAACCATTAAATGTGAAAAAGATGCATCAAATGAAGAGTATGGGCGCATAGTGGCATACACAAAACTGCGACCTACTTCGTATTAAGTAAAGACGTATGGGCACCAATAAACCGAAGAGCAAAAACTGATGCAATCTACTCGGTAAGATCGTCAATGACATGCAAGTAATGGGTGCTAGAGACTCTATACAAGGTACATCTCTCTCTCTCTCTCTCTCTCTCTCTCTCTCTCTTATGATACACATCCGCCAATGTCATCCTAATATACAACATATATCATACCAAATTCTAAAAAATAGTCCTATCAATGCACTACTAATTATGATTTTCTTAGTTAATAATATGAAATGCTTTCGTATAACCTTCTTCCCCTCTATTCATCCTCTAGTGTTCTGAATCTCTGTTACAAGCTAGCTTTCATGATTTTAGCTTTAGAATATTCGTCTAGCTTTCAATAACATAAACAATACAATCGTGCTTTTATCAGTTGCTGCAGCATCTAGCTCGTTTTGTTTCTTGGAGTTTCTGCCATAGACAGAGCATCTCTCGGGGAGCTTGGTAATGGGCAACAACATAACCATCTTTGCAACCCTCGTTAAAGATCCTCTCTTCCTTCTCATACCTCACTTTCAGACCTCCCTTCACCATTTCTGAAATCCAGATACCCATTGCCACGTCTTCTAGCTTAAACATCTGCACATGTTGTCGGATTTATGATGTTTTTATAGTTGCAGGTGCCATTGTGGCTAAAATTTGATACCAGGAGTTCAACCATATACATGACAAGCACACAGCAAGACAGATTTTGAAAAATAACAGAATATTATACAAGAAAGAACAGCAATACTACTTTTCCTTACCTTTAAATTGCCTTTTTTATGTCTTTTGTAGACTGCCTTTGCTATGTCACGTGAGACAACATAACCAGGGCCATGTGCCCATGGAGGGTACGTTTCTTCAGGCCATTCCTTAAAGCAAAGGAGACAACAAGGGTCAGCAAACGAATAAAATAATTTGCATACTCACCAGAAAGGGGAAAATCGTACACACACTACCAAATATAACCAAGCAATTTAACCAAAATTTCATAGTCAATCTGACTTCAGCAGGAAAATTTAAGTTCAAATATGTGGGTCAGATTGTATATCTTATGATACAGGTCAAACCATGAAGTTGATTGAGTTTTCAGGGGCATTGAAGGAGGTCAGATGTGATCTGGTCATGTACAAAACTTATATTAATATTCTGGTTTTCTTGCAAGTGATCTACCTTCTTGCCTTCGGATAACGTTTGAAACAGTCAGGACCTATAGCACTACCTCACAGACAAGCAAACAATCTCGGGTACACAGAACCCAGACAAAATAATCTCAATAATATTCCTTTACTTTTTTTTTTTTTTTTGGGAAATTTTTAGAATCTGCTAAGGTTTGTGTTTGGGATAAATTTCTGTGGGTTTTTTTAAGGACGTTTTAAATTAAATGTGTGTTTCTTATATGAGCGTGTGTGTGGAGAGGCGAGAACAGGCATTTCAAGTTTAATTAACCTGCTTTAATCATTCAATGATCCTCATATCAATCACAAATAATGGGTGTAAGCATAAGCCACATAACACAACTATTAAATTATTCATAATATTCCAGTAATATTATATATTTTTTAGAACACATTTTGTGTTTTGGTTGGGAGTAAAAAATTGTCTTCACAGTGCTGTATCATGACAGTTGTTTCATGATATCTTTCTCAGATATCCATTTTATAGGTAGTAGCAATTCCACTACCCCAAATTTGTTACCAAGCTCTCGCTTTGTTTCTGTATTTCGATCTTATAACACAAATTATTAAGTTAACCTATTAACTCACTAATTACAAGTTGAAAGTAAAGAGTTAAGAAGACATTTACCTTGGGACTGATATACCACTTGCTCTCAGGATTTCGATGAGGTCGGGAATCTGAGTTGATGAGACCATAAAGTAGCCCTCGACTCCTGTTGATCCTGTTCAAAGAAGCCAGCACTTCATCCACACGAACAAAAGCATCGTCATCTGTCTTCATGACAAACTTCGCGGAAACAACCTCCGTCTGTCAAAGAGATAAGGTCAATGAGGCAATGGGAGGATTCTCCTTATATAAAGAAGAGGCAGCACTCTACCCCAAATATGCAGATGGCTACAGTCTTCCAGGTGATCAGGCCGTAATAGTCAACAAACGGCATCAGTTGTATGTCACCATATGTCTGTGCCTCACTCCAAAGCTCCTCATTCACCATCTGGTTTTTATGCTGCAATACACATCAAATGTACATTAAGCTAAAGATACATATTTCAGTGACAGGTTGGCATTACAACATAACCAAAAAATCATAAGAATATAATGTGTAACATAATAAAATAGTAGGCCCTAATAGAACCACTAGAATTTGAAATTTTTTGAAATCAAACCTCGAGTTACAAACTCAAGATGAATACTAAGAATAACAAAGACATTTACAAGTATGGCTACCTAAACAATGCCCGGAAAAGAAAAGGATAGAAAATTTTAAACTTCTCGTGTTAAGCACCACAAACAACCTATTCTGTTTGAACGTGGACTCAAAACAAAAGATCAGGACCTACCAGTGAGGGTATACTATCACAATAAATGAGATTGATTTAAATCATGGGACTAAATCAAGCTAATTTAAGGATTTTTTTTTTTCCTTATTTCAAATTTTTAGTGACAGGCTGGCATTACAACAGAACCTAAAAATTATAAGAACATAATCTGTAACAGACATAAAATAGTTAGGCCCTAATAGAATCACAAGAATTTGAAACTTTTTGAAATCAAAACTTGAATTACAAAGTCAAGATGAATAATAAGAATAACAAAGACAATCATCTTTGCAATATAAAGTATGGATACAGTTCAATGAGTCATGCTTCCAGTCCTGCACCATAAAAATAAGTCATGCTTCCAGTCCTGGTGCTTAAAGCCCATGCCCACAGTTCAATAGTTTACTATAACTGAGAAGCATCAGCTTTATAACAATTATTGTACTGAAAGCAAAATAAATGGCAATGCAATGCTTACCAAACCAACAAAAAATCGCACTGCAACAGCCCCTGACCGCACTGCAGTATACTGCATCCAAGTTCTCCGAACAGCCATCCTGCGCTTAAAATTGTTTGCTGTTGAGAAAACACCAATAAAGAGATCCAGAGGTTTCCGAGAAGGAAGAGGAGGTGATACGAGTGCTTCTAAGTCAACAATATGCTCCAAATCCTCTGATGTGGGTAAACCACTGGCCAAGACAGAAACTAATTTGATGTCTCCTGAAATCCTTATTTCACTAACCAGCCACGGCTCCAAACTCTGAAGATAGCCAGCCAAGAAAGAAAACAATTTCAAACAAACTGATATTTGTTCTAAAAACAACTCAAGTAAGAAATAAGAAGAATTACTTCACGAAAAGCAAAGGATGTTATGTGCTTTCCATCAACTGTCATCTGAATTCCCTCTGATCCCACTCTAAGTGTTGCAACAGATAGATAACCTTGATTAAAGGGAAAATATTTCCGGGTTTTAGATCCTTCAGTGACCATTAATGACTTCCTTGACCCATTAGAATGCCTGCTAGCCATGAATACTCGATTGTCATCTTTACCCACCATCTTGTTGCACTGGTCCAACTCATCCACTGACATATAGAACTAAATAGAGTTATCTAAAGGGGATGGTGGGTCAAATTGTGAAAGGGATAATGGGCATGAAAAGAAGATAATAAAAAAATAAAAAGAGAAAGAAGCAATTAGAGAATCAATCCATATAGAACCCTTCTGCTCTGTAAAATTATTGAAAAGATGAAATCACTGTAACCTAAAAAATAACTGCAAAAGAGAAATATGAGATTAGTTCTAGCCAGCACATGTTTTCACTTAGATGCAACCAATACAAAAAACAAATATCATACTGTACAGAGGGAGATTACTTAGATCGTACAAGCAATACTACATAATAGAATATATATATATATATATATATATATATATATATATATATATATATATATATAAAAGATACGAATCAATGAGCTCCAATCTAGCATTTGATTCAGAACAGTTTCCTATGCGGAATCAAAAAAAAAATATAAGATATATATATATATATATATATAAACAAAAAACAAAATAATTGAGCTAAAGATATCAAGAATGACTGCTAGTAATAAGAAACATGAACATGCATGAAATACATGGATAATTGCATCGAAGTGATGTTGTTCAAACTTCTATATTCCACTCATGAAACAGAAAATGTGGCTGATATCTACCTTTCTTATTCTTATCAGGAGAGGGGGATGGACAGCGCTCCTCGTCACCCCAGTCATGAGCAATAGTCCAGGTATTTTGGACAATTACAGGGTCCTCGGTTATCTTATCACCATGCAGCCTAACATTGTAATGCAAAATAATTGGTGGATCTGGCTCCCCAGGAAGTGGTTCACCAGTTAAGTCCATCCGAAAATTACCAAGAAGGCCATTTGGCATCCCAATTATAGTAATGGAAGAACCCTGAGTCAAGCCACAAGGAACCTGCATCTTAAAGCCGCTATTATCAAGCTCTGTGGCATTCATTTTATTAAGAAAATGGGGACATTGTTTCTCTTTTCCTCTCTTACGTGAACTGTTATTTGCATAGGCAAGTCTCTCCTCTTCAACAGAAGTCATAAGGCTACTCCATGCAAGTCCAGCTTCCTTAATTGCCTCTACCGCATTGGGTAAAACCTGAGTATTGCCTATTAAGTGTTTCAGATGGTTCCATGTCTGCAAAGTTTGTTCCTCTTCATTGGATATGTTCCTCTGAGCAAAGAGACTGAAGGCAATGGAATCAGCAGAAATTACTTGAGAATCATTCTCTGGATTCTGAACTGCAGGTGGAGCTCCAGAATACACCCATGCAAGAGAATCAGTTTTATTGAAGGTTAAGGAACTAGTAAGATAATATTCCCCAACAGAACTTTTCATGGCACCATACATCAGAACAACCATCATAAACAAAGATGCAATTGAAACGCCTGCATAACATCTCTTCATTTCTGCTCATTACCAGTTTGCATCAATAGTTTTAATCTTGAACCACATGTAATTGAGATTAAGTGAAACCAATATATCACCACCAGGTCACTTTGTGATCAGCTCCACTGAATCAAGGTACTGATGACTTGAATATATCAGGTATATTTAGAACATGTAGTTCAAGTTCCTCGAAGAGAAATGAACCACATCATAGATCACAATTTAGAAGAAGCTTTTCAGTACCTGGAACTGAAACTTTCAGATATACCATTTCTATCAGCTGTCTAGCAGACCAACTACTATGTTTTGCTAAAATGATTTTTCAGAAAGACTATTCTAACTTCATCATTCTGGGGTCAAATGGCAATGCCACCGCAAACGTTAATCAGAAAGCTTCTGAAATTAGAAATTCCAAGCTATGCCCTGGGGTCCAAATCAAATAACCTTACAAAAAACAAAAGGCTTCCCCATGAAGTATGAATCCTGTAAACAGAAAACAAATGAATGAGTAAATAAAAGAATTTATGATTTAAAAAAAAAAAAAAATCACAAAATGATAAATAATCAATGGACCAATACCACCAAAAAGGAGAACTCCAGTTTCCAAAATAAAGAAGAAAGCATACTGAATATAATGAGAGCAAGCAACAGAACTACAGATATCACTAAGTGGAATCTGATACACTTCAGAAAAGGAATTGAGGGAAAGTAAGTTATTGATTTGGTTACCGTCAAAGTGTCAAACACATGTTTTACAATTTTACTACACCTCAATCTTTTCCTGAAACACTCGATATAGGTTATGATCTTTATCAAATCTACCCAGCATCTGAGAGGTTGAACTTTTAGCGAAATCCTCGATCATTTTAATTGTTGTTTCCTCACTCCTTTTTTATTTTATTTTATTTGTCTCCCTGTTGCTATATATATTATGTTCTGTCAGCCCATATCAAAGGGTGGTATTGGCTGCCAATATGAGAATATTAGAAGTCTTTTAGGAAATGTTAGACCCCCAGCCCTAGCAGCCTATTTGGTAGGAGAAAAGTAGAATGAAGAAAGAGGGGAAAAGGAAAAGAGGAGGGGTGTAATGCCTCTCCTTCCTTTGATAGAGAAAAAGAGCAAAGAGATAAGGACGGATAGAAGCCCATTCCTAATTTTCTTCCTTTTATTTTACATTTTTACCTATCCAAAAGAATATTTATTTTAGTTATTGAAGAGTATAACAGGAAAATTCATACAACCCCCTTACGTTCTTTCCTCATTTCCATCCTAATCAACCAAAAAATTATGAGAGAGAGACTCCCCCCATTTCTAAGGGATACCTCATTTATCCCTCCTGCCTTCGTATCAAATTCAGCACAAGTGTCACAGAAAGCCTGATGATACATCTTTCCTTCCTTCCTGCCTTCCTTCCTCATTTCCTTCTTAACAAACTGAGCAAAATGGGAAGAAAGTTTCCTTACTTCCCCTAAGTGTACCTCTTTCATCCCTCATTTGTCACATTCCTTTCAATTGTCGTCCCCTTCCTACCATGGAGCATAAGGGCAACCAAAGAATGACGATCAACAAAAAATTATCTTCATTCACAATCAATAGAGAGATTATCCAATTTCCAAAACCTGGGCATTCATCTATGAGATCAGAAAATGCTTTCAACATGCCCACAAAACAAATGCAGAAGTAGTCTTCAAATAACTAAAAAAAATCCCAACAAATTTAAACACTCAGTATGGGCCTTTTTGCATATCCCAACAATTGAATCCCTTCATTGGATTTCTAGACAAAACTTCTTTTCCTCTTCTCTCAAATCCTTCATAAATAGGACCATTACTTAAAAAAGGCAGTCACTAACTTCTCCTCCCCTTCCTTCGATTACTTAAAAAAGGCAACCATGCAGCTGTATTTAAAAATTAAATCAATGAATTCCAAAACATCAGTTTTATTTTGCTCTCATTTGCTTTCATGGCTATGTTGGTGAAGAAGGGTTTCCACATCCATACGCGGTTTAAATGACAATCGTATATTAAATGCAGCAAAGACAGCTCAGACAAACAGTAGACTGAAACGAAAAAGGTGAATTCCATACACACACATCCCTATCCACCCATGCACACACAAGACCGATCACTTAAAAAATAACAAGAGTTATTGGAGCTTTGAACAGCTATATTAAGTTCATTATAAAAGTGCAGTAATAAAAAACTAGTATCATAAGATTCATAACCCCACATGTTAGACAGATGGTCAAGTGTAGTAATCAAATACTCTGCTTTATATTATCCTTATTTTATTTTATATCATAGGCTCAATAATAATTAGCAAGATGGCCTATTGTCAGAGAAGAACAATATTATTTTCAAGAATCACAAAAAAAAATAAAAAAATAAAAAATAAAAAGAAAGAAAAAAAAAAAAAAGTCACCAGAAATCAGGAGGAACCATTATTGTCAAACTGGTAGGGACCACATCATTTTGGTTGTAGATCTCAAATCAATCTCCAAGAAAAACCCTAAATTTAACCAAAACCAGAATTGGTACCAAAAAAAAAAAAAAAATTTGAGTAGTAAAACAAACAATAAAACTTCATCAATGTTAAAGAGTAAAAAAGTAATTTCACGGAATTTGATCAATAAGCTTTACTGCACACTTCCTCTTCGTTCTCCACATATTCAATCTTCTAATTTGCAGCTGAATTATCGGAGCCACTATTTCAGAATATGGTATATATACATATACATACATACATACATATACAGGTATATATGCAAGTATTGCAGTATATTGACAGGAAACAGAGTCACCGACCAGATCCGAACGCATTAGACTGAAAATTCGGCGACTAAGAAAACTCATAGCTTCAAATTCAATTGATTGAGCAGAAAAGTAAAAGCTAAAATAATAGTGAATAATCCAACTAGAGATGCATAGCTCAGAATTTCAAATTTTTCACTTGAAAAAAAGGACATAATTAAGGATTAAGAGATTAAACAAGAAACGTACCTCTTTCAGTTTATGTGTTTGCCGGAATGCCGGAGCGAGAAATTGAGATAAAATGTGAGAAAATGTGAGAAAAAAGAAGGAAGTGAGAGGATCAAAGTCGTTTGAACTTCAAGTCTACGCTAAAACCGGTGGGAACGAAAAAAAAAATATATATATATATATATATATATATATATATATAAACAAAAAGAGAAAAAAACATAAAAATCAAAGTGCTTTGCTTTTGATTACTTATTACTGCAGGATGAAGTATTTGACAAGTCAATTAGCTTTGGTCTTAAAAGTGTTTGTTGGACTGTCATTTAACAGGGACGGTCGAATCAGTACATTATTATGGGTCCCACAATTAATTTATGATCAGAGGGTCAATAATTGGCTGTGACTATTTTCAGCTATAGCACCAAATTGCATTAAAATTCCTTTTCTTTTATTTTTTTCTATTTTACTACGAGTTGTTTAGTTAATTTTAATGTTTTTTTAGTAAGTTGGTTATGAGATGGACCTCATCATTGTTCTCGTGAACCTTCCTTTAAGTAAAGTAGTTGCATTGCTGCGCAATGTTTTGGCAACATCAAATTCACGCCTTGTAGTTGAAATAGTAATAGATAATTATTTTAGTTTAGATTTAAATTTTTATTATTATTATTATTATTTTTTTAGTTTAGATTTTAAATAAATTGTCATCCAAATGCAACGAAAATAAATTTTAATATGAGATATTAATAATTCAGTTCTTTCAAGATCCTTTAACTAAAATGAAAAAGGAAATAACATCTAATATCTATTATGAATTAACATCTATTAGAAAATAACATCTAACATTTATTACTATTGCTAAATTTTAAGCATGGTTGTTTGTAGTATCAATTGATATACGTGATGTATTGGTCGATTCACAATCCTTAATCCTTGAGTCATTACACACCTTCATAAACATGTCGATTTAGCTAGTTTACATCAATATTCACCTGAGCCTATAACACTGTGACTGCAACCCAAATTATGGTTTTAAGTCATACAAAACGAGAGCAAATGTAAAAGTAATAACGTAAAAACAACAAAAACTAAAGGAAAATATACTTGCACCGAAGAGATAAACCTAATCCATGTGGCTGTCTATGTGGATATAAAATATACTTGCACCGAAGAGATAAACCTAATCCATGTGGCTGTCTATGTGGATATGCCATGTCATAATATTTAAAGTGATAATTATTAAGTTTCTCTCTTTTTTTACTATCCTTTCTTATCCAATATTTTTCTTTTATTTTTATTTTTTTTTTCTCTCATTTTTCTTAAGTCATCTCATCTATCTTCCTTACGAACCTCACATAATCGAATACATTCATGTAATTTTTCTTTTATTTTTATTTTTTTTCTCTCATTTTTCTCTAGTCATCTCATCTATCTTCCTTCCGAACCTCACATAATTGAATACATTCATGTAATTGCAAAGAGAGATTTGATTAATTGTTAGTGATGATGCCTACTTATAAAATTTCAATAAAATTAAATTGTATTATAGAGAATGAATGTTAATGGAATCCAAAGTGATTGTTGAGACTTTTGTATAATTTTTTATGATAATATCATCTTAATAAAAATAAAATATAAAATTGTATTGTAGAGAATGAATGTTAATAAAGTCCTGAATTTTAATAAAATCATCTTCATATATTTGTTTTACATTTACCTTTTGGATAGCGTCTCTTATTTTACGATCAATTAAACCTATCAAACTCATTTTTTATTTTATTTTTTGACCTTTTTCTTTCATTTTTTTGACCTTTCTTAAGTCTACACAGACAAAATAAAGATCATAAATATTTATGGAGAAAAAATTGAAAATAATTAAAGAAGGAACTAAATTCCTAACAGGTAGTGCAGTGATATTTATGGAAAATAAAATAGAGATAATTAAAGAAGGAATTAAATTTTAAATAGAAGACCAATAGTTAGGGGATCGCAAATAAAATTAAAAGTTTAGTACTTTATCATGAGTCAGCATGATACATTACTAAATTTTACGTAGTATTTATCTTTTTATGTCACGTAAATTCTGCCAATAAATTGACCTAAATTTTCTATCAAAGTATCACGACTCAAAACTAAATCATACAGTCCTTTGTTGTCCACTATCTTGTGGCGTTGGTTTGGCCACGTATTTCTTCATAAAACAGACACTAAGTTCGCGTTTGGCAATTACACCACTATTTATAAATAACATTTTACCACAATTTATAAGTAACATCCCATGATCTAAAAAATAACATCACATGAGTCTAAAAGTAACATCACCATTTATGTGCATATCTTAATTTAAGGGTGAAAATACACCACCATTTATAAATAACATTTCACCACTATTTATAAGTAACATCACAGGATCTAAAAAGTAACATCACAGGAGTCTAAAAGTAATATCACCATTTATGTGCATACCTTAATTTAAGAGTGAAGATATTTATAAATGGTGGTAAAATGTTATTTATAAATGGTGGTGTAATTACCAAACATAATATGTTGAATTGAGTTATATTTGTATGTGACGATACTTATAAATAGTGATGAAGAAGGATCCAAACGCTGTATCAATTTTACTCAAACTTTGCCTTAAGAGTTATTAAATGAAGAATAATGTGACAAAATATAGGCCACTTCAAACTCACAATAGGGGACAGCATAGAAAGCTCGTAGCAGAGGATTTGCACCTACAGAATGGGTACAAGAGTGGTACTCGGAGTTTGTGGCCGAATTATACGTCATATGAGTGCGACCCGTATTTTGTGCGTGTTTTAATCACCACCTCTGTATAACAGCTGTGTTGAAAAAAAAAAAAAAAACTACATTTTAACAGTATTAAAGACGTGTAGGATTGTGTTTTCACACGTGTATGACACTGTGATGTGTTATCTGCTGCTTAGAGCTCGTGGATTAGTTACACGTGTAATAGGTTGCTTCACTGTCAAATTTTTTTTTTTAATTTTAATTTTAAATTATCTTGTGGTGTTGACGGGAGGCCAAAGCCGGTTGATTCGGAATGCTGTCTAAGTACGACTAGCGAGCCGAGCTGTCAAATATTGAATTACAAAATCACCCTTTTTTTTTTAATTATTGCTAGTGGAAAGAATCGAGAAGAATGATTTCACAAATGAATGAAAAGTCAATTCAACCTAAGTTTGAAGGATATCTAATGAGAGAAGGGCACGTGTTGTCGCAGAAGATATCATGTTGACTTGTACAATACAGCAATAGGGGGTTTTTGCGTGTTTTTTATACTCGTCGCGCAATTGAATTAATCAAAGTTGATTTAATGTTCATATTGACTTAATTCCATTTACTGGTCTGGTTAAATGTTATTTGTAGTGAAAAGAAAAAAAAAATTGTTATTCTTAAATCAATTTCTCAAACGATTGGGAATAAATAACGAATTTTTATTCTTTTGATATGATAAATGGGAGCCACATTTGAATTTATTCGGACCAAAATAATAATAATAATAATAATAAAAAACCTCCTAAGAAATAGGTTTAAGTGATAATTTAAAACTTGTATAATTTGGATAATATTGTAACATAAAATTTCTATAAAATATCTCCTTAGTCTTTGTTCCTCTCTTCGGCCCATATGTAATTGAAAGGATGAAATTTTGTATAGTCCTTTTCGTACTCTCTCTCCTTATCTCCTATCTATTTCTTTTTTATCTTCCTTTCGCGCCTTTTCCTTTCTCCCTATCGAACAAAATATTAATCCAGCTACTAATAAAGAGCTCATGAAAACATGATTTCATTTTTTGCTCAGAGAGTAGTGGGCTTATGGAATGGATTTTTCTGATGTTCAATTTAATCGGGCACTATTTTGAACAAAATCAACCTACAGGGTTAATGGACCAAACTAATTAACTACACCCTCTGTTTTAAATTTGTGAGTCACGGGTCCCAAATAAAACATTTAACTTCGGATGAAAGTAGTATATCACAGTACTACATATAAAATATACAAGTCGCATGTTAAATGTTAAATGTGGCATCAGTGCTTTTAAAAGGTAGCAAAGAGGCCACAGAAAAATTTATAGCCAAGTCAAGTACTAGAGAAGATCCATCTTTACTAATATCTTCTTCTTTTTCTTTGTTTCTTTTCCTTTTCTTTTCTTTTCCTTTCCTTTCCTATTTCTGCGTAACAAGGTGTACTCCAACCTTTACCAAGAGATTAATTAACTGACACGCGTGAGTTCATTATATATTTTGAAATTAGTTGTAAGAAATAATTGAATCGTGCTATACTTATTGACATGCGATATCGATCATTAGACATGAATATAGACAAGTTGAATCAGTTGTAAAAAAAATAATTGAATCGTGTTACACTTATCAACATGTGATATCGATCATAAGACATGAATGTAGACAAGTTGAATCAGTTGTAAACAAAAATAATTGAATCGTGCTTACACTTATCGACATACGATACCGATCATGACACGTGAATATAGACCCTATCTCAATAGTCCACACTCGACATACGATACCGATCATGACACGTGAATATAGACCCTATCTCAATAGTCCACACTCGCCTCTCTCAATTAATTATCGCGTTTCACTACCGGATAAATTTAGAGTTTTACTAGGCAAATAACATAATATCCAATATAATAGCATTAACCAACTCTTCTATTACAAACATCCCTAGAATGAAGGGAATTTGATTTCGGAAGCACATTTGCCATGGGGTAACACATCACACTCAGTAATGTTGGTCCCAGAATTATCCACACACATGTAAATCTGATAAAGTTGGCTGTTGCTTGATTCATCAATATTGCACTCTATCCAGGGACTATAGCCAGTTGCACCTTTAATGGCATCTTTTATGCTCTCCAAGCTGTAAAATTCTCCATTTGGATTGATTCCTATGGAGTATACAGTTTTGTCCTTATCAATACAAATTAAAGCTGAAAGTGATAACTAAAAGTTACACACGGTACAAGTGTTGAATGATCGGATAATGAGTAATGATAGAGAATCTGACAATCAGACATGTTCAAAAGAATCACATTAAGTGAGAAGCGTGGATTACACTAATGATTTTTATTTTATTTTTTGGATCTGTCTGACCGTCAAACTCCAGATCATTTTTGAATCAATATGTTTGGAAATTAACAAGTCTTAATTATTAAAAGTTATAATATATGTAGAACTAGATGTACCTGCATTTGTAAGGATTTGGAGGAAGTCTACTTGCTTCTTTAGGTTGAGAGCTGTTGCGAAGTAATCGTGTTGGTCGAGGACAAATTCAGAGCAAGTTCCATGTTTGTCCCATTCATGACTCCAGAAGATTAAGCCGTCGCTACTCGGACAGGCCAAAGAAGGCCAGTCCTCCTGCATTCTGCCGGCGAGGTCTGAAATCTGCAACATGGTGCTTATTGACGACAACTTGAAGATAGGTGCATAGATTTGTGGTGGTTGTGCTTATTAAGCTATATTTAGTGACAATTAATTATGAATAAAATTTGAGAATTTTAACCGTGTTCCAATGAGCATTTTATTTGTTGCATGACATTGGTTCACAATTTTTTTATTTATGCGTCTAGCAGTCCTTCTGAATGAACTTATTAAAAGTTGGATTTATTGACTTTTATCAATTATGGTGTTCAAATGAGCATTGTTTTTGTGACATTCGATGATCATAACTTTTTTACCTGTGCATGTAGCATTACATTTGAATGAACATTAGAAATTTATTATTGTGGAAGCCTCAATAGCTTTGTTTATGAAATGATCTTCTAATCATTTTATTTAAAATTATCTACATATACAGTATTTTTTTAAAATTTAATTTATCACACAATTTATCATTATTCAAAATTATCTAGATATACAATATTTTTTAAATTTTTTTTTACGTAATTTATCATATATTTGATGGAGTATTGGAGTAAAATCAATCTTATTCTCATCGTAATTGAATCAATAATTCATATTTTGATAGAATTATTATATTCGAATTATTAATGGGTTATCAAAATAAATATTGCTAATGGCTATCAAAATAAATATTGTCATCAATATTCAAACAAATTTTATCTATTCACACGTTTGAGTTATAGGATTAGATAGGATGGAATGTTGTTAATATATTGAGTGCATCCATTCAACCATAAATCAAATGAGTAATGTACCTATATATGATATTGTAAAGTTATAAATATATATTTATATGTATGTGTGTGTGTGTGTGTGTATATATATATATATATATATATATATGATTTTAATAGGAGATTGTCTTAAAAAAAAAATAATTAATCCCAATCCGAACAATTGGATCAAATTCGGATTAAATTTGATACATGTGTAGTATATTCGCTTCCGATCAATTTAAATTATGCCAAACAAATATGTATATTCGCTTGTGATCAATTTAAACTATGCCAAACAAATACGTGAATTAGATCATGAGACTAAAATTAATTTTGTGACTACTTACTTATAAATTTATATATGAACTACATCGGTATCATATGAAACAACAATAATTATTCTTTGTGAACTTGCATAAAATACAATTATTCTTTGTTTTTATAGTATATAAAGAGATAAATGTAGGCACATAACCTTGGATTGATCGAAAGGGCTGTCGGGATCGCAGTTGGATGGGTACGACCCATCTTGGTAATTGGGCCAAAGCCCATGAATACTGAAATCTGATGCAGGCTTGCCAGATTTTGGGTAACAACAACTTTGTTTCGAGTCACAGTATGATCCTGGCCACTGCACCATATGGGTAGATAAAATAAAAAATAAAATAATAAAAATAATAATAAACTTAGAGCAACCGAGTATAATCCAGTGAAAAAAATAAAATGTACTTTGGTAGCACAGAATCGGCTTCCAGCACACCACCAATTTTTTTTTTTTTCAATTTCAAATTTAAGTCATCGATTCGGTTCGGTGCTCACGGAAAATTAAAAATTCTCTTTTTAATTATCGAATCAATATTATCAGTGAACACAGACAACACCAATTATCATCAAACAACAATAATTATATTCGATCATAAAATGACTAACCTGTTGAACAAAGTAGAAGAAATCAAAACCTTGTGAGACAACTAGAACTGCTAGACCTTGTATGATCAAGAGATTGATCAAGATTGAAATGTTGTGCCTCATCTTTCCCCCTCTCAATGTGTGTAGGGGTGATATTGCATTGGACTTTAATAATATTTATATAGCTGTATTTATTGACCAAAAGTGGAAAGAATATGACAGACTATGGGATATATTAAATCTATTAAATCTGATTTGAGTAATCTATTAAATCTTTTTGCGTTTGTAACGGTAACCCTCGTTTGTACGTGTTCACTCCTTTGAATTTCGTTTTCCATTACATTCTCTAACTAATATATATATATATATATATATATATATATAGTTTTCCCCCCCATAAAAATCCATTTTATTGCATAATAGGAAAAAGCTCTCTATTAAATTTAATTTCATGTTCACTTAAGAGATTTTATTGTCAACAAGTTTTTCTCTCCTCTTTTGAACTTATTTAATTTTGAAAAGAGTAGGTGTGGAGGGAAAAAACTCTCCTTCCAATAAAAAGCGCACACGTCACCACTACCCATACCTACATTCCAAGGACATATAAAGCCCATCATGCTCAAGCCCAAGTGGGGGGTATTTACAGCCCAAGACCATTGTTATTTGTCCTCCAACTTCCATCAAGGCCGAATCAAGAAGTCATCAGCCCAGCTTGTCGTCAACCCAGCGTATGAGTATTTAACATCTGGCCTGTTACCCAAGCCCAGCCGGATCAAAATATATTCAGTCCAAGAATGCACAAATCCTACCATTTGAAGGATTTGCTGTAGAAGGAAAATTCGGATAGGAAGTTCTGTACAAGGCAATTTCTATGTATGGAAAATTCGACAATGGAACTCTATTAGACAAGAATGGTTATATAGAAAGAATTGGAGGGCAAGCAACGCGAGTCCTACCATAATTTTGCAATCTTTTGTATATAAATAGAGGCCAAGACCTCCAATAAAGGATCAACCAATTCTACGCTTCTCTACACACTGTTCTTATTTATCTTTATTGCTTTTGAGTGAGTTGTTTTATTTTTCTCAATCATTATTGGTTGGGCGAAATTTTGCACCTACACTTTGGCGCAGTCTGTGGGAAACGTATAGAAATATACTCCCACTTGTTCTTCAAATTAAATCCTTTAGTCGTGTCTGGAATGTTAAACGGAGAATCAGTAATGAATCAACAGATAGAATTGATGCAAAAGATGCGAGAAGAGTTCTTGCACCAATTTGAGACACTCCGGCAAGCAAACGATACGAGTGTCGCCCAGATAGCTGCGCTTCAGCAGCAGACTCATACGCTGCACACGGCCATGGCCAGGCTAACGCCACAACCACCGCCAGGCAATGCTGCGGCACCACCCCCCACACGGAATTTACCTCCGGTTCACGAGCCTCCAGCCAACGAGACACCACCCAACGGGGCTCGACCTAGTGAGGTTCAGCAAAAGCAAGGGACGAGGTCCGAGGCGGTTGATTCGGATAATCTCCCGCATCGCACACAGGACGAACAGGCCGAGTCCAGCCATAGGCTTACGGTATGGTCCAATGGCGTTCCAGATGGCGCACGCGTGCAAGATGCCTTCGACGAAAAGAAGCTCTTGAGAGTCCAGACACCAGCCGAGATGGCTAGAGAGCACAAGAACTCCTTGGTCAAGACCCCCTTTACTGACGAGGTGTACCTTGTGGAGAGACCGAAGAAGTTCACTATGCTATCCTTCACCCAGTTCGATGGGGCAGGAGACCCCTCTCGGCATCTCGATCATTATGCGCAAAAGATGGCACTGGACGATCATAACGATCCGTGGATGTGTAAGGTTTTTCCTACCAGTTTAACCGGAGCAGCGTTAGAATGGTTCAGGAATAGGCCACACAAGTCTATCCCTGACTATGAGACCTTGTGCACTATGTTCTTAGCCCAGTATTGCGGAAATAAGAAACAGAAGAAAAGTATCGCCAGCCTTTTCACCATAAGGCAAAGGAAGGGAGAAACTTTGCAAGATTTTTTATCCAGGTTTAATATGGAGGCCTCGGAGATAGCAGATTGCCATCCTGCCACGGCAATCGAAACATTTAAGTTGGCAATGATCCAGGGAACCAAGTTTCACACATCCTTGGTCAAATATTCCCCCCCGGATATGCAGACTTTGAACGCTAGGGCACAAATCTACATTCGGTTGGAGGAAAACGTAGCTCACCGTGCACAGCACGCTACCCTCGTCACAGTAGAAAACAAGTCTCCAGAGAAAGTTACGAGCACAAGGATGCAGAAGGTTCCTCATACTGCCACACAAGTCACCCAAGCATCTGAGAAAAGGCGAAGGACAGAGGACAGGCTTACCCCTCTCCGTACTACCTTGGCGCGCCTATTCCAAGAGAATAAGATGAGGTTCGCGACTCCTCAGCCCATGAAACAACCCTTGGAGCAGAGGGACAAAAGCAAACATTATGCCTACCATAGAGATTATGGGCATACCACCAATGACTGCAGGTCTCTACAGCGACAGGTAGAAAGCATGATAGCAAGAGGAGAATTGGTGGAGTATCTCGCCACGAAGGAGCACGTAAAACCCCGGGAGGTTAACCCTCAACGGGTAGAGGGCGGTCACGTAAAGGTTATCCATGCTATACACGGAAGGTCAGAGGATGATGAAGAGTCTGAAGAGTTGTACAGATCTAGGCTGAGAGAGGCTCATAAGTTACGAAGATTGTCTTCGGTAAACACGGTTGCACCAGGCAGCATCAACATTGGATTCGGTAACAATGATCTTTCTAGAGTCCAGCGCCCGCATGAGGACCCCTTGGTCATCAGCCTCCTGGTAGCGAATTACATGATCAGGAGAGTGCTGATAGATCCGGGAAGTAGCGCCAACATCATTACAAAAACAGCTTTTGATCAGTTGGGGGTTTCACCATCGTCCATCAGGCCAACTTCCGGCCCCCTCATGGGATTTGACGGTACTAAGGTGAATCCGCTTGGGGTGATCGATCTATCCGTTACTACAGCAAAAAGAACTCTGAAGGAAAACTTCGTCGTGACAGAGATTCATCCATCTTATAACCTCATTATGGGGAGAGGTTGGATCCATCGTATGAACGGAGTCCCCTCTACACTCCATCAAGTAATGAGGTGTTTATCCCCGGATGGCAGGGAGGTAATCGACCTCTGGGGAGACCAGGTTGCTGCCAAAGAATGTTACATGCTAACGTTACACGAAGCAAAGAAAGCGTCGAAATCACCTCAGTCAGAGGCGAATCCCAAAAACGCAATCAAATAGCAGTTACAGTATCCTCTGCCCAAGTATCTCAAGGCAGAGGAAGAAGCCAAAGCTGAAGCACCTACCGAGGAGTCCCTCGAAGCTATAGAGGTAGTCCTCGGAGACCCTCAGAAGATCACCTACATTGGCTCATCTTGCACAGCCGAAGAGAAGGAAGCATTGATCAGGGTCATTCGGTGCAATTCGGATGTCTTTGCCTGGGATCACTCGGACATGGTGGGGATCAATCCTACAGTCTCATGCCATAGTCTGAGGGTTAACCCAGAGTTCAGGCCAGTCAAGCAGAGGCACCGACGGTTCGCACCTGAACGGAATCGCATAATAGTCGAGGAAGTAAATAAACTATTACAAGCAGGATTCATTCGAGAGGTGCAATACCCACAATGGCTCTCAAATATAGTAGTCGTTCAAAAGAAGAATGGGAAATGGAGGGTATGCGTAGATTATACCAACCTTAACAAAGCTTGCCCAAAAGATAGCTTTCCTCTGCCCAAGATTGATCAAATGGTGGATGCTACGACGGGTTATGAAAGGCTCACATTCCTCGATGCATACTCCGGCTATAATCAGATTCCCATGAATCCTGAAGATGAGGAGAAAACCGCTTTCATCACAGAAACGGGCACTTACTGCTACAGAGTGATGCCCTTCGGTCTAAAGAATGCCGGAGCCACCTACCAGCGACTTGTCAATAAAATTTTCAATAATCTGCTGGGAAATACAATTGAAGCCTATATCGATGATATGGTGGTCAAAAGTATACGGAAAGAGGACCACCCGAAGCACCTTCAAGAGGTTTTTGATACTCTCAAGAGATACAATATGAAGCTGAACCCCACCAAGTGCTCCTTCGCCGTCTCGTCAGGACAGTTCCTTGGGCACGTCGTAAATAAAAGAGGAATAAAAGTAAGCCCAGCTCAGGCAAAGGCACTCATACAGAACCAGGAGCCGAAAACCCGCAGGGAAGTGCAAGTTCTAACCGGCCGAATTGCGGCTCTCAGCCGGTTCATATCTCGATTATCTGATAAGTATAAACCTTTCTTTGATGCTATTCGATCCAAAAACAAAGATATATGGGGACCTCAGCAGTAGGAAGCTCTCAATCAATTGAAAAGCTACATGACAAAACCCCCAATCCTTCCTGCTCCAACGCCCGGAGATACTCTCATCCTGTACCTGGCAGTATCAGCTGTAGCAACAAGTGCAGTGTTGATCAAAGAAGGAGGCAAGGTTCAGCACCCAATCTTTTACACAAGCAAAACGATGACGGATGCCGAGACACGGTACAGCAAGACAGAAAAGGTAATCCTGGCGTTAATTTATGCCAAGAGGAAACTTCGACATTACTTCGAGTCTTACAGCATAGTGGTCCTTACAAATCACCCTATACGGGCTATCCTAGCTAAACCAGACCTGTCTGGTCGAATTACAAAATGGGCTATTGAACTTAGCTCTTTTGACATCACCTATGCACCGAAGGTATCTCACAAGGGGCAGTCGGTAGCGGATTTCCTACTAGAGTACGAAGATCAACCTGAGGAACCGACACTTCAAGAGCCATACTGGGAGTTACGAGTTGATGGCTCTTCCAACCGAAAAAGGGCCGGGGCCGGGATTGACATCACAACACCCGAGGGTACCAAGCTACAGCAGTCAATTTTGCTAGATTTCCCATCTACTAATAACGAGGCCGAGTACGAGGCGATGCTTGCCGGACTTCGGCTAGCTAAACAGCTACAGGTACGATGTTTAAAAGTTTTTAGCGACTCACAGCTTGTGATCAATCAAGTGACAGGGC